ACCCCGCCGGGCTCCACCCCTTCCCCCTCCCGGCGCCCGGGGCTGCGAATCTTCCCTGGCGTTGCCCGGGAGACCAGCCGATACCAGGCAAATAGGCATTCGAGAAAGAAAAGGGGGGAAAGCTGCCCCACAGCCTGATAACAAAGGAGAAATAAAAGCACCCCCTAAATGTCTGGGAGAAAATTCGAAAGCAATCACCCCCAATTTAAAGCAGGAGGGGACGCAGAGGAAGGGGTAGGATTTCTCCCGGGTGAGGGAATCGGCATTTGGGAATCTCCTGGATGGTGGCAGTGGATCAGCCCAATTGGCTTTTCAAGTTGGAGCACTGCTAATAAGACGATTCGCGTCCACCCTGGCGACCGGGGTCTTGGGCCTGGCCAGCAGCCCCCCCACACACACGGGTGCTAACACCTTTGTTGGCAAGATACACCTCCACGGAAACCTCCTTTCCGCTGCTCTGTGGAATATGACTTCGTGGGTGAATAATGCATCCGAAGAACTGGACAGCGAGGAGACGAAGCTTCACGCAACAGCGTTCTGCTTGGTGACTGTCAAGGCGCTTGAACAAAGAGATACTGGCTTGAACCAACTGTCTTTTTCACTCAGAGTGTGACCCATTTCCCTACAATGAACAGAAAATAAAACCGTTTGACAATTCCAAGCCAGAACCAAGAGAAACGAACCATTCCCTCGACTGCTTCTCGCCTCCATGGGGGAAACATCACCCACATTGCTCGGTCACTAACTGGACCGATAAAAGACGGTTTGGCCTTTTTCATGAGCGAAATAATACGTGGTAGAGGAATGCTTATCAGACTGTCCTCTTGGTTCCCCCTCCCCTCCAGATATGTTAAATCAATGCCTCATCTTTCACACACTAACAGCCTCTGGTACCTCCGTGCTAAGGGACTAAGTGGCCGAGAGAAGTGTCCTGTCCACACCACTGAAGAAGCTTTTCCTCTAACCTAAATGAACTGGGAGCCTCCGGGGACCTTCCTGCTTCTCTCACCACGCACGCGATTTCTTAGAATTGTAATCCTTTTTCTAGCTTTCCCTCACTACTGCCTGCCTCCCTTCCTTCTGGAAGCACACTCGCTGTTGTGCTCACACACGTTCAAAACGGGAGTCCTCCCGATGTTGGCAGCGAGCTAAACCATGTCGACGCGAGTGGCAGTCTCCCAACTGTAAAAATGGATTCGTACACTCGAGGCTGTGCGTCGTCTCACCAAAGGAAAATTAATTATGCCATTTCATACAGTGATAAAATGCGAGCAGTTTCGACCTTCTGCAAATGGCCCTCACAATTGAGAAAGAATGATCACTAATTGGGACTAGCCAGAGAGATGCGATTGATGAGTTCCAAGGGCCAATCTCAAAATATTTTATTTCACACCAGTGTGAGAGAGGAAAAGGTGCGTGTCTTCGACTGTTTGCTGCTTTTGCGTTTCCCACATCTGGCCTACAGACCTAGTTCCAACTCGAAAGCTTGCTAGATGAAATTCGATCTTCCTGGTTTAAATATCTTTCAGTGTGGGACGATTTAACAATTGCAGCACTTAAAAAAAAAAACCCTGCGCACTATCTGCAAAACTCATATGGAAGGTGGCGAGAGCAAACGTGCTGCAAACACACAAATCCTACCCATTGTCTTTAACACAGGCAGACACGCACATACACATAAACACACGGGAAAGATGGGGGAGGGGAGAGAGTGGCGAGAGACAGACACGGATATAGACCGACCAGAGTCAATACGAGTCAAGTTAACGCTTTCTCCGCCCCCATCCACAAGTACCCCCCTCCCGTGTTAATTAATTCTGAGCAAAGCAAGCCAATCAAGGGGTGCACGATTATTTTTAGGTCTAAGGAAGCGAGAGGCATGTATTTCTTAATTGATTTATTTATTTGGAGGACATTAATTCTTAGTCTGAGGCTGATTTTCAAACCGTTTGCAAAGCGCGGCTCCATTGTTCGGAGGGCGCGCAGGCCCCGCCCCCTGCTTTGTGTGCGGCGCGCGGATTGGCCAGCGCGCGCGGGGGCCGCGTCAGCGCCCGCGAGCCCATTCATCTGTGCACTTGGGCGTTGGACCCCGCATCTTATTAGCAACCAGGGAGATTTCTCCATTTTCCTCTTGTCTACAGTGCGGCTACAAATCTGGGATTTTTTTTTTTATTACTTCTTAAAAAAAAAAAAAACTACACTTGGACTCTTTTTTTGTGTTCGACTTTTCCACCTTTTTCCCTCCCTCCTGCGCTGCTGCTTTTTGATCTCTTCGAAGAAAATTTTTTATCCGGAGTGTATTTAATCGGGTCTGCTCTGTCCTCCTCGCCACCCCACCCCCTCCCTCCGGTGAGTGCCGCCGCCGCCGTTGCCGCCGCCGCCGCCGCCGCCGCTGCTGCCGCTCGCCCCGTCGTTCCACCAACCCAAGGCTCTTTGTTTTCCCCTCTTGGATCTGTTGAGTTTCTTTGTTGAAGAAGCCAGTATGGGTGCCCAGTTCTCCAAGACCGCAGCGAAGGGAGAAGCCGCCGCAGAGAGGCCCGGAGAGGCGGCTGTGGCCTCGTCGCCTTCCAAAGCAAATGGGCAGGTAAATTCTACCTGTGGTTCTGGGTCGTTTCTTGGGTGTCTTTCTCTGAACTGGACGCTTCCCCTTCCCACTGATCGTGCCCGAGGGCGCATTCCGCGGAGTGGAGCGTGGCCAGAGCCTGGGCTGAAAGTTGAACGGAAAAGGATACCCTAAATTGTCCATTTTTCATAGGAAGAGTGCCCCCACCCCCACCCCCAAAGGAGTGGTTCCCAAGGATCCAGGAGAATTCTTAAGTAGACGGGATGAAAAGAGAGATAAATCGTCTAAAATGGCGTGGTTTGGAGGCTGGCAGAACGTGATTAGCTGGGTTACCCCCCCCCCCAGGTTGCATTTGTGTTTGGTTCCACAATGGTATTTGGGTGGCTTTCGTATTTTTGTCGAGGCTGGATCGTCGAGATTTCTGAGCTGGTGTGATTGTGTATGTGTGCGCGCGTGTATGCGTGTGTGGGAAGGGGGAGCCTAGGCGGATGGCGGTGGAAATAGGCGAGGAGGAAAGGCTCATCTTATTGTATGCAGAGGCGGCATGCCCTGGGTTCTTGGAAAGGTGGCAGGTTAGAGCTGGACGGGCAGCTTTCGGTACCTTCCACGGGGCTTTTCCACGGTCCTAAGTCTTTTTCGTGGCTTCCGTAATTACATACCCACCTGACTTTTTACATGGTATCACTGGGGTTGTGGAACACTCGGGGGTCTTTTGAGAACCTCTCCAGATGGTCAAGAGTGGGCAGTTCTGGCGTTTTGGTCTGGACTGTTGGTGTGCGTGGCGCCTCGGCCACCCACAGGGACTGTGCAGCGGGGACCCGGGCCGAGAGCCATGGCTGGGTGGGTGCAAGAGGTCCACCATGGGTGGCTGCTTCACCAACACTGGGCACCCACCACGCCTCTTTTCCTAGAGCAAAGGCCGCGCTGCTTCGCCTGCTCCAAACCTACTGGGGCAAGACGGGTTCTGTCAGAAGCTTTAAACTGCTTAAAAATGCAAAAGGAGCTGCCCAGGCGCGCCCAGTTTGCAGAATTATGGGTGAAGGTGGGCGTGGAAGCAAAGGCGAGACTGCAGAAATAAGGGGTTTTTTTCTCCAGCACCTCTGGTTTTTAGAGCCCGGGGGAGGCCGAGCAGCCACCTGAGCTTTGTTTGCGGACTCCAGGGCTGCGCGATCCGGGCTCGGGGGCGCCTCGGCCTGCGGGCAAGGCCCGGCCCGGCCGGGCAGGGCGGGGTGGCCTCGCGGCCCCGCCCCTGAGCGCCCCGCTCCGCCGGTGGAGGCGCAGCGCCCCCTGCGGGCCGCTAAGCCTGGGGCGCTAGGCTCGGACTGGAGCGCTGCGGCCCGCAGGGAGCCCTAGCCTTTCTGCAGAGGCTTAAGTGCTTGGGCGAGGTGGGGATGGGCAGCCACGAGCACCGGTCTCGGCCGCGTCCCCTTTAGTCAGGGTTAATTGGCTCTTCTGCGGGCCCGGAATCCGGTGTCCCGTGCTGTCCACTCTCCGGCCTCACGCAGCAGGGATGTGTTGAATGTCGCTGCCCTCGGCCTCTCGGGTCTCGGCCTCCCACGCCGCCTCCCGTGACTGCCAGCGCCCCGAGGGCAGCTGGCCTCTGCGGCCGGGGGATGGGCGGGGATGGCGATGCCACTGCCGCGCCTAGTGACGCTCCCGCTTTTTCTGCCCCGCAGGAGAATGGCCACGTGAAAGTGAACGGGGACGCTTCGCCCGCAGCCGCCGAGCCTGGCGCCAAGGAGGAGCTGCAGGCTAATGGCAGCGCCCCGGCCGCCGACAAGGAGGAGCCCGCGGCCGCAGGGATGGGAGCGGAGCCGCGCCCCCCGCCACCGCCGACAAAGACGAGGCGGCCGCCGCGGCCCCCGAACCCGGGCCCAGCCCGGCCGAGAAGGAGGCCCCCACCGAGGCCGAGGCCGCCGAGCCCGGCTCGCCCACAGCCGCCGAGGCCGAGGCCGCGTCCGCCGCCTCCTCGACATCTTCACCCAAGGCGGAGGACGGGGCCACGCCCTCGCCCAGCAACGAGACCCCGAAAAAAAAAAAGAAGCGCTTTTCCTTCAAGAAGTCCTTCAAGCTGAGCGGCTTCTCCTTCAAGAAGAACAAGAAGGAGGCGGGAGAGGGCGGTGAGGCCGAGGGCGCGGGAGGCCCGGCCGCCGACAGCGCCAAGGACGAGGCCGCGGGGGGCGCCG